TCATGGGCTAACTTAAGTCATTGGCCACTAAAATAATATTTTCCTGCTGTTCATCCTTATCATATTCACCCATCAAAACTATTTCATGAGCTGTTTCAAATGTTTGATTCCTGACAGTGATATTGAGAGCCATACTGCAAAATATCTATTAACTATTGCCTGTGGAATTCTAGGATTCATTCATTGTTATCTATTATTCCACTGCTGCATTTTCCCTTGGACTGGGAAATTTATTAAAGATATGACCAACCTCAAAGCATCTCTCAGCAATTCCATCCTTCCATAAGTGCCTGCAACTATGCTCCATTCAACTTTGAGAATCAATAATTATGAAGTTTTCTGTTCTCTCTATCACTGCAGAACTCCCAATTTGTCTTGTGGAGATAGTTGAAAAGAACTGTTTCTGAAAATAGTTTAACCACGACAACAGACTCTGGAATTTCTGGATCGAATCTCTTGAGCATTTTATATAATATCTTTGAGGTTGAATCTTTGATATAACATCAGCCATGATTGAATTGCGGAACAGACTTGATGTGCCAAATGGCCTACTTCTACTCCTATAATCTTATGGTTTTATGATCTCAAATTCCATGAGATTTTCTCCCATGACTGAACACCCAGTTTATTAAATTAATCAATTACTTACGTAGCTCATGGGTTTCCAACAAGTCATCTTTTCTCTAACCTCTGTCCATAAATCGTATTACAATCTCCAATCCCTCTTCAGTATCCAGGATGGTTACATGCAGTTCTAAAATATTTTATTTCAAATTTTGCTCCTCGTTCTGAAAATACCTTAAGTCAAATTTTGCCCTCCTGGTAAAATCATACTTCGCTTTTTCTGCTTAAAGAAATGACCTGAGTCCATGTCTCCCCCTCATTCTCCCACTGATCCAATTCTGAAAATACCATAACTCATGATCCTGCAGCGTGGATAAATCATTTCACTTTAACATGTCACTGGGAGCTTTGCTCCCAGTAGAAACTGAAACTTCTGTTTTTCTTGTCCTCCCAACTGAAGAGACCGAGGATAATCCTGTGTTACTGTTTCATACACCTATATCTCTATGATGATATAGGCAGCTGAAGACCTTCAAAGGTTTAGATGTAAATCTATAGCATTGTGCAAACATCAATTTCCATTTTACCCTTCTGGACCCTGTCTCTGTCCAAGAACCAAAGCTCTGTTCTGAGGAAGGGTCACCGGACCCAAAACATCAACTCTGTTTTTTCCTTCACAGATGCTACCAGACCTGCTGAGCTTTTCCAGCAACTTTGTTTTTGTCCCACGGGGAGAGCCCAGCTTTTTTTTAAATTTTAATCAGCCTGTTCTGATGTGTGATTACACACACCTAGATGGGCCCTCTAGCTAACTGGGAGACGCGTTACTGCAGCACCTGTACCCTCACCTTGAAACATACACTAAACATATTCCTTACTTAACCCTCCCAATAACTTAGCATTGTTTTTAAACCCACAACCAAATCACCCATTCTACCAGCTAAACAAAGAACAAATTACAACTACCACCCACCATGGATAGTACCGCAAGAACTAAAACAAAAGGTGGGGAAAAGAAGAGAGGGAGTTAAATCAAAATTATGTTGGAGAGGGAACTAAACCACCCTGTAGTGTGCTGCCCACCTCTCTCTAAAGGTGTCGAGAGTATTGATGGGCTCTATGTATTCCCTCTGCCAGGACCCCTGGGCATTATCGTTACTCGGGAAGAGTGGAATCCAGCTTGTTAGGCAGCCAGCTGATGGGAGGAAAACCATCTGACCACCAGGAAAAAGACATCTTGAAACAAAAACTGCTCACAGCAGGGAGGCAGAGGAAGGAATCCAGAACAAAGCTAAAGGACTGCTGTGCTGGACCAGATTATCAACAGCCACAATCTGTATGCCATAAAAGTGAATCAAAGGAGCCTTCAAGCCTTCCCAGGACATGCTCTGCTCACTGAGTCCACCTGTTGGAGTGATCTCCAACTATCCAACTACAGAAGCTGAACATGTCTTTGTATTTCAACCATTGACTCCAGAAAGAGAATTTTCATGCAAACCAGGCCTGTAACAATATGAAAGACTGATCTCATCTCAATCCTCATTCATGCTTCAAATCTTTTTATCTGTTCTTTATCTAATAACTTTGCAACCGAGACTGAGGTAATTTCCAGCAAGTTATATAAGAATCTAACTTTTTAATCTTGTTTAAAAATAAAAATGCGCTGCTGGTTTTATTTAAGTTGAAACATTCAAGATTAAAAGAATACTACATACAAGATTACACAAGTTCTTATCTTGTGCACCATGCTGAGGTAACACCTGGTATGTGGTTGTGACACTGTGGACTCAAGAATAATTAGTTAAGTTGTGCATAGATGTGTTATAGCCAATCACTGGGTGAGGGGCCCCAATTCATTATAATCCTGGGTGAGGAGAGAGAAAGTGTCTTTCCTTCTTTATTCAATCAACACCCACGCACTCACCGCCGCCACCGCACCCCCCCCCCCCCCCCCCCCAACCAAAAGAAAGCTCTGGATGGTCACATCAAAAATAACTTAAACCAAAGGTTTCCTTCGCTCTTGGATACTTTTCCAGTTCCAAAGTTTTAGTGTTTTAAAAGCACCCAATTTGAGCAGGCTTTCTTGAGTTATAGAAAATGTGGGTTTATGAATTGCTGAGAGGCAGGAAAAAAAATAAAACACAGATACATACATACAGATTAGAAAGGCATAGCGAATAAAAAGATAACACATAAGAAGGCTATACAAATCAGTCTTTGGTGTGTCCATGGGGAGGAGATGATAAAATATTGCAGCTGTTAAGGTGGATGATCCTGGTAGCATTGACTCTGGAAGTTGAGCAGTTTTTATTTTGGAGATTCTGGGTTTTGCAGATTAACTGAAAGGACTTGTTCAGTTTCTTGTTCAGTTGTAGTTTTTGATTGGTGATTTGCTTCTGACAATCAGTATGAGAAAAAGAGTGACTTCCTGTCCTTTGCATACTTACTTGTAAGTGTAGGGATGTTGAATTGATGTTCTGAACTGTAACAAATTCTAGTTCAATAGCACTAGGACTCCAGTCTAGATTACATAGACAATGCTGTTGACACTGTGGAGCTGCATTCCCCTGACTTAGAATCCATATGCATCTAATGGTTCAATTAATTCCACATCCTATGCATTGTTCTCGGCATCACCAATACTAAATCTGCAACATGATTGCACCCTAAATCTATAGTTGGATTATGGTCTGAAATTTTAGTATGATTGATGCTCAACTTATGATGTGACTTAGTCTGGATCTATAGTATGTCTGTACCTGATACTATGATATACCTATGCCTTAAATCAATTGCATAACTGCTTTCGACTACAATCTTACCCTTCATTCAACTGGGTATATTCAACTCCTTAGTGCAATGTGCAAGAATATTCACCCTGTTCTTTCCTGCTTAAGAGTCTGAGACAGTGACTTGGAAATTCTCCAAAGGTTCATCAGGTCTTTACCATAGCTTCTATGGTAGATCGTTGAAATCACCAGGAAAAGCGTGGTAATAGCTGAAAATATTTCTGTGAGGATGCTGACAATCCTCTGCTGAACTTATTTTGGAAGAACCACTATGATATTTCAGGGCCTTTTAATCAAAATGTTTGGAACACAATCTTTACAAACATAACATTGAGATATTCCAGTACACAGAAAATCTTTAACATCTGGATCCTTTAATTCAGGGAAAGACTTTGTTGTAAATGATAATGGTCAGGATTTGACTCTGTTTGAGAAACAAATAGGAGCCAGAGAAGATCTGAATACAGATATATCTGATTACACTTGAGATAGGTCAGTGAACAAAAGACAAAAGGAATTCCTTGGGCACATTCCATATCATCACAAATTATACGATAAGCCTCTATCCAATTTCTTAAGAAGCAGTTTTGGACATGGAAAATAAACTAATTACCAGGCTCTGACAAGAACTCTAGTTATTCAGTGGTCACTCTAGAAATAGACCAATAATAATGTATTAATGTGTGTACTAACAAGAAAAGTGCTATAAAACATAGAAATATTGGATTGTGAATTTTCTTCCATGGCAGACACATGTAGCGGTGAAATAATGCTAACTATTTCAACGTTTCTGGGGGCAATATATTATTCCTGGTAGCAGCAACTTATCTATTATTCCTTCCAACTTTTTCCAAGAAATTTACAAATCACTGTTCTAATGTTACTGGCCATGGCTTACGTTCCTTACATTATTGCTTTTTTTTTGGGATATAATGACCTTAAGTGTTGCCAAGTTTTTATCAAGAACAATCTTTGTTGGGTTGTGACAACATTTGAGTGCCCCAAAATAGAAAAAAGTTCTCAAAATTCTTGAAATGGGAAGCGTGCAGATTAATGCTACCTCTGCAGGCTGAGGAGTTGCTGCTGGAGCTGATGTACATTGGCAATCCACTGCAGATGTGTCTCAGAATAAATTTCATTGAACTTCAGAATGCACTAAGAAGCACATCTCCTGCCATTTTCAGCCACAAACAAATTACAGACTTAGGCTTTTTTGACATAACCCATCCTAAACTCCATCATTTCTACCTTCCCAAACCACCCATGAGAATGTCCATTGCTAATTAAAAGGCACAACTTGCCAGTCCCCAGTCATCAAGGCAGAAGTACTCAGTTAAAGGAACGATATTTTGGATGCTGACTGGATATTTTCCCCTTCTGGGGGAGTACAGAACAAGGGGGATCACCCATTAAAAAGAGCGATAAGGAGAATTTTTTTCAGCCAAAAGGTTGTCGGTCTGTGGAATTCTGCTCCCCAGGGAACAGCACAGGCAAAATTACTGATTAACAAGGGAATCAAAGGTTAGAGTGGGTAGAGAGGAAAGTAGAGTCTGGCTCACAATCAGATCAAACCATGATCTTATTAAAGGGTGGTACAGTCTTGAGGGGGCTGAATGACTAACTCCTGTTTTTACTTCATATGTCCGAATGCTCATACGTAAGCAAATATGCAAATTAATTTTCCTCCAGTAGCTTCCACTTCTTTCTGCATTGGCCTTGAAAATGTTTGAGCTGCATCCTGTGCTTTTTTTGTGGCTAAGTCTGAGTTGCATTTAGCTTTGTGGAGATTTTTGCTGTAACGCACAGGGATTTTCTTGCTGTATCTTACCAAAGTCATCTCATTGATCACTAATCCCACCCTTTTTGCATCCTTCACGTCCAATTTCAATCTCATATTGCCACGCACCGTTCCCAGAACAACTGGCCACTGAGCAGATATCTCAGAATTCAACCAGATCCCTTCTGCCTGTGACACCTTTAAAAGCTGTTGTGCACCCAGACAAGTACTGTCAGTCTGGAGCTGCCCTGCATTTGATATTTTCCTGGACATGGCAAACGGGGGGACATCAGTGCTCTGCTGTGGGGCAGTGACCGAGAGGTCCTGCTGTGTGGGGTTGTATACAGGCAGGACTTCATATTCCCCCAGGACCAGCACTGGAGGCTATAACACCAGACCACAACAGCCTAGTCAGAAGAGTGCATACCCTGGAAAATCCAACTACTTCTAGTTTGGAGCAGTTAAATTGCTTAACAGCATCCAAATCAGAACTAAACAAATAAACGTCTAGTTAAATGGTCGTCCGGTTCTAATGGAGGTCAATGCTGATGCGGCCGATTCAGTGCTCACAGAACCAGTCTTTAACAAAATTTGCTCTGGACTACAACCTTTAAGTTTGCACAAGACCACAGCTAGACTGAGAACCTCTACCAGGGAACCTTTACAAATTAAGGGTACAACTTTGTTTCTGTTCTCTTATGAGAAGTAACTGGTTCAGTTATCACTAATTGTAGCAAATGGCTTGCTTTTTTTTGGGGATATAATGACCTTAAGTGTTGCCAAGTTTTTATCAAGAACAATCATGGAGCAAAATGGGTTGAGAGAAATACACCGAGATTGGCTCAAAATTTTTCGATTAGAAAATGGCTGCCTGAGTAAAGTCCTAATTAAAAACCTGGAAGCTTTTCAGGAAGGTCTAGGGACTATCAAAGGAGCCAAGGCCATTTTGTATGTTGACCAGGAAGCAATCCCATGATTCTGCAAGGCCCACCCAGTGCTATTTGCCTTATGGGCAAAAGTAGAGGCAGAAATCAGAGGCTGGAAAGCAAAGGAATCATCAAACCAGTCCAGTTTGCGGAATGGGCAGCACCAATCATAATGATTTTGAAGCCCAATGGATTGATTCGGCTTTATGGGGATTTTAAACAAATGGTAAACCACTTTTCACAGCTGGATAAATACCCAAACCCTCACATAGAGAATTTATACACAAAGCTGGCAGGGTGGAAGTACTTCATGAAGCTGGACATGAGCCATGTGCACTTGCAGTTGCAGTTAGATGTATGCTGCAATTAATACCCATAAGAGTTTATACCAATGTACGAGACTTTCATTTGGGATATTGTCAGACTGTGCAATTTTACAGTGGATGGTGGAGAACATTTTGCAAGGTCTACCCCAGGTTGCCATTTATCTAGATGACGTACTAATAACAGGGAAGACCAATAAGGAGCACTTAGAGAATTTGGACATAGTTCTTAGATGTTTCTCCCAGGTGGCATTCGCCTAAGAAGGGAAAGATGTGTGTTCCTGGCACCCCAAGTGTCCTACTTGGGCTACAGAGTTGACAAGGCCACGTTACTCTGATTGGAAGGTAAAGTGAGGATGATAAATGGTGCCCCGGTTCCCATATCTGTACCAGAGCTTCGGTCTTTTCTTAGGCTGGTGAATTATTATAGAAAGTTCATCATGACCTGGATGGCATGATAGCTCAGTGGTTAGCACTGCTGCCTTACAGCGCCAGGGACCCGGGTTCAATTCCAGCCTTGGGCGACTGTCTGTGTGAAGTTTGCACATTCTCCCCATGTCTGTATGGGTTTCCTCTGGGTGCTCGGCTTCCCCCCATAGTCCAGGTGTGCAGGCTAGGTGGATTAGCCATGGGAAATGCAGGATT